GCCTTTCAACCAACAAGTACCCTTGCAGGTCACACACACACTCAGCCGACAAGCACTCAGACAGGCATGCAAACCAGCAGGCACGCACACACACACAGACATGGAAATCACAGCAGAATGCGGGAATCTCAGCAAGGCATTCATTCCAGCGGCAAATCCCAGAAATCAGCAGTATTCTCAGTCTGTGTTTTTGGCAGGTCATTACAAAGAAAAAAAGGACACAGACCTACATAGGGTACAATTCCAATTCCAAAGGCAGTCCCTACTCAAGATGTGTAGGCGCAAACGTCCTGGGATTAGAACACGATTTGCCCGGATTGTAAATTCCCCCACAAGGCGTAGACCATATAGGTGATCTGCAATGCCTGACCAGCATCATTTGGTTGAACTGCAAATTTTGCCCCACAAGGCGTAGACCACATGGCTGGTCTGCAAATGACTGACCTGCAAACAGCCCAGGACACTGTCTGGGTGATCCAGAAGTTGTTGGCGAATATCCAACACTCCAGGCTGAGATCCCACCAATCTCTATGGTTTAGCTGCAACTAATATATGACTGCACGTTCTCCACCGCCCGCTTTATACACCATCGTACTTTCTTGCAAACGCCCTTCAGCTTAATGTTGCCAGAGGATGTTAATTATACCTGGGAAGCAGGCTTTACAATTACAGTCCTTTAAGAAACAATGACAAATGTCAACTTGAACTAGGCAATGCTCAAGCATGTGAGTGGAGTCATCCTCCATCCCACATCTCTGCCTGCATGGCACACAGACGTGGCCATTTCATGGTAATTGTAGATCCCTCTGAGCACTGGGAGGTGTGGGACAATGGCACCATGATCCATGCCATGACTGATGTTACTAATTTCTTACATAGTGATGTTGTTTTCTTGCCACAGCAAACGGTCCGCACACTATTTTATGTCAAAGATCATTCCTCTGCCCTTGTGCTGCGGCAGGACGATCTATCAAGTTACTATCAACACTCTGCAACCTTCCCTGCATAGCTACAAACGTGGTTACACTTGGCTGCAGCCGTCATCATCTCTGTCACTATCACTACAATGGCATGGTTTCTGCATACATGTGTGCAAAGGACTGTGCCTCTTTCCTGACGCATCTGGACACACTTTGTCCATTTGCGGCCATTGTGGCAATTCTTGTACTGAGAATGGTCAACTAGGTGTCCATGTGCACATCCACCGCATCCTTGCAATGTATGTCCTCTCTATCCTCAAGGACAGAATGATTCTTGAGCCTTCCCGTATCCTTTCCTATGCTTTCATATTCATACCACGCTCCTTACTTTCCCTTCATTCTCGTTCGTCTTGCTTTGCTTTGTCTTTTTTCCATTCTTTTCTCTCTGTTTATCCCCGCTCCCTTTACTCTGTGTCTTTTTCAATGTACAAGTGGGTCGTTATGGCACATGGGAATACGGGCAACGGGTGCTTAACTTTATCAACGTGGCAAACATTGTACATGAGAGGCACAACAAAGGGAGAGCTAAATGAAGAAATGATAAAAAGAACGGTTTAAGTGTGCTTTTGATGTTTATCTTGTTTATTTATATCGTTTTGCAAAGTGTGCTCTTTTAGTTGACATGTATATAAAATATTATAAATACATATATATCGCCAACAGTATGATGACGTTTTCTGGAAACTCTCAGATTTTTATTTGATGTAGAAGGAATATTCCTAAGAATAGAAAAAAATGAGGTATTGAGGAAATGACTACTTATCTACGTGTCGCCTCTGCATATGGGTCTGGCATGTTTGTGAGTTAGGAATGTGTTCAGACAATTCAGAAAAGTGCCTTCACAAGTCTGGCTGTGGAACACATTATTTACCAGCTGATTTATTGCACAAGCGGTAAACGACTCACTGAATCTTCACCAAAAGTAATTCTGAAGTGGAAAAGATTCAATGATTTTGAAGTTTTCTAAAATCGGGTTTCAACCTGTGTTACCAGCCGGGCTGCCCCGGTTGTCTCAGCTTGGCCAAGGTGGCACGGCTGGGCCAGGTCCGAGCAAAGTCCCGGTCAAGGTCCCAAACAGTCACAGCATTTAAAAAAAAATCAAAAAAATCAAAAAAATCTGGAAAACATCTATGTCATGCAGAATTGCAAACCAAACATCTTTGCTCGAGGGTGACCACAAAATTCGCTATGGCATCCGAAATAAAAATAAAAAGATATAATATAATATAAATTATAGCATACCCCTTTTGTAAGGAATATGAGTGAGAGCGATAGACAGAATACCAAGTCACAAAATCACGAAGTAGTCCAGATAGTCATGTACCAAGAAGAGAGCACAAATGCACCAGGATACCATCCAAATAAGAGCAATACAATGAACCCAAGTGCCAATGCTGACGCTTTCCGGTCACACCAACACTGTATCCAATATCACTCCTACTGTCCAGCTCCCAGCCTACACTACTCAGCCTATCTGTCCTATCTAAGTTCACGTGACCGGCACACATCGAAGTCGAAGACCAATGTACGTGATATCAGCACCAATGCCGACCACCAGCATACACCAGGTACGTTCTCTCTCCTCCCCTCATCACCCCTCATCTCCCCACTTCATGCGCCTCCTACCCGAAGACCACCATCACCATCACCTGCCACCGCACGCTCGGCCCGATTATGGCCGCCATTCGGCCGACAAAGCAGCAGCGTCGCACAACAAAGGAGCAGTGTGGCTGCAATGCCTGCTCAGGCCAAAATGCCCTCCCCAGGGGGCACACACTTTCCTTTATGGAAAGTGTGTTCGCTGCCGACTGGCTTGGGGCCCCGTAGCTTGCCTCTGGCCCCAAGTGTATGCGCCCAGGCCCAGTTTCAGATACTGGTCTGGGCCTTGTGCAGTTAGGCACGTCCAGGCAGCCACCCAACCTCCAAGTGTTTGCAGCATTCTCATTGGCTCACAACACATGTGTGACAGCAATGCTGCTTCCTCATTGGTCCATAACCAGTCTGTGATGTGTCGGCCTCACACAGCATGTGCCCAGGGTGCAACCACTTGAGCCCTGGGCTCTCTGTCCAGTGCAGCCCTTGCTTCTAGAAAGAGCATGGAGGCTCACGTTGCTCTGTAACCAACTGGCGTGCTGCAACTGTCTGAGTACCCACATATGGAAAATGTCGAAAATAGGCCTCACGTGGATATTCAGGCCCACGTTCATTTAGGGCGGGCACGGGCTTGCTGGGGTGCACGCTTGTATGTTTGATAAGGGTTCCTCAAGGCTCATTCCTCGCACTTTACACCTCTTTAGGCCCCTTCAAGCCCTTTCGAACCCGCTTATACCCCATAGACAGAATTAGACACCCTTTGGTGAGATATCACCAAACTCAGATAAGGCCGGATTCGGGCACGTCTCAGTGGGCGCAAAATTGCCCCACTGCCAAGTAAAAAAAAATAAAAAAATTGACCCCCTTTTTGGTGTCCCTCGGGTACCCTGGGTGGGTCACCCCCTGTGCAAGTTTGCCCGGGTTGACCGGCCAGGCGATTCTAGTAACAAAGGTTTCAACGGTTTAAAAGGTGCTGACAATGCTAAATGACCAGCCAGGCGATTCTAGTAACATAGGTTTCAAGGATTTAAAAGGTGCTGACAATGCTAAATGCCCCCTTTTGGATAATGTTCAACATTCGGAAAATTTTGAAATGGTGAAAATATTATGAATGACCCATTGACCCCCCTATATCCGAATGCATATAGACGTTGAAAATTATGAAAACTTTGAAGTGGTGAAGATGCTGAAAAAGTTTTAATACCCCCCTCGGGCATCCGGATGGATTTTGACACTGAAGATTCTGAAAATTTTGAAGTGGTCAAGATGCTGAACATTCCCAACTCCACCAACCTCTCCCTATTTTGTTTTCTTTAAACCACCACTACCTCCACCAGTGTTGGGAAAAATGGGAAAAGTGGCTGTTTTCCCACTTTTTCTGAAATTTTCGGGGGTCGGCGAAGACTCGGCAGTTGGGCCTTGTGGGCTGCCTGATTTCTTGGCTGCAGTCGGGGATGGGATTGGTCGGGAGTGCTTTTCCCAGCCCTGTATGGCTGCGGTTTATCT